ACCTTTGGGTATTGGGTTATTACTTATTACTTATTATACAAAGATTGTGTTTTAGTGTAGTCTAGTTAAGAAGTTATGTTATACTCATACTACTATAACTGTAGTATAACTCTTGTCTCTTATGACTTTTTAAATTTCAAGTAATATGTGTGTAGGTATGTCGGATTGTCGAGCCATTCTCCTTCAAATATGTAATAATTACGGCCAGATCGTGGTAAATGTATAAATATGGCCAGCTTGCCGCTCGGTATATTTATCAAAAACATTCATCAATACTCTCTCAGAAAACAATAACATTGTTGATAGTGTATTAATATGAAGAATGATTGTCCAATCATATGTTTTGTATCGTGTGATACACCACAAAGGGTTTCGTAAAGACGTAAAGTCGTAACTTAAACATACCTATAACTTATATGTATATAATATTATAATAGTATTGCACATAGTATCGCGTGCGATTAACTACCTACCTATACATTTATAAAATCATACTGTATCTGTATATGTCCTACACTCCTATTATAGAAATAAGACATAATAACATTATGTTGATTCTGTACTTGACTATTGCGCTAGGATTTTCTGCTAAGTAAATATTATAGGTATAAATGTATAACATAATATCATAATATATAATATTACATGTATTGGTATTGATGTCTGCAGAATGTCACCGGCAATAATGATAATTCAAGAAATAACTATATTTCCTATAGGTAATGTCTAAAATCCCTTGAGCTGTTGTAGCCGATGTGCAATGGTTAAAATGTGTATTGTTTTAAAAATATATATCGCTATATATGTTATAATTTCCTATAAAAAAATCAATTTAGGTACAATCTTATATTAGATAGGATTTGGGAATCGTGTAAATTGTCTTTATTATTTAACTATATCATTGGAGCGGTTACACAGTAATCTTAGTTTATATATATATATTTATATATAATACAATTAATATTTTTAAATTTAACTATCATTGTAACATCGGATGTATTAGATTTTAGTTATCACCCTAATGACTTTAACTTGCCATACATTTATTTGTTTTGAACTTCAATCTGTTTGAAAACTGCAGGCCCCACTAAAAAAGATAATTCTTCAAGAAGCTGCAGGTTCAGATAGTATCACAGCTGGACTTCAGGGATTTCAAAAATTTAATTTTGAAATGAAGTATTATACTATTAAGTATGTTTGCCGTGTTAGTAATACAATATATAACTTAATGTGACATTGCAGTTTGCCATGTGAAAATAAAATTGATCAATAATTTATTCAATTGTATACATTAAGTTTGCATTAAAACAATTTGCCCTATTATTATCACATTTCCTATAGTGAACACCACATTCATTAGTCATAGATCATAATGTCGATATTTAATGTTCATATTTTTAGAAATCTTAGTCGTATCATTTCATACATTCATTAGACATTTTCAAAAATGACTAGGGAAATAAATAATATTAATTACTGCTCAAAACGGCAATTTTATTATTGACAGTGCTTATAACTATCAGTTATTATTATTATTGCCGGTAACATAATATTATTATAATATACTATAGTAAATAAAAATAGTTTGAGAAACTGGCGTTCCGAAGAAAATATATACATGGTGCATCAGTCGTAACTTGTAATAATTATACGTCCAATTATCGAATATTGAAGTTTGGAATACCGCATATTACAATTTATAATACACATGATTATGTGTTGTAGTACAGTAGATGTCTGTATTATCATTACGCACTTTCGTTATATTATGACTTTTCGAGAGTGTGATTCATACAAATATATACAATGTAACCTATATATAATAATATACCATACTTCCGTTGTAAAAAATACGAGTTGGATTAAAAAAAAAAGCAGATGATTCCGGCTGACGAGTATAATAATATACTATTTATTATTCTCATTTTGTATAATATATAAACATTATAGGTAAATGTGCTGTGTACATTGCGCTCTGCTTCGATCGGAAAAAAAAATTAGTAAAAATGTGCAATGCATTCGTCGCAGCCGCCTCCGCCCACAGATGGTAATGAACCACTCGACGTAAACAACTGCAGCACGTCTGTGGTGTGTATAATATTATTATACGTGTGTAGTGTATGTGATAGTGTTATGGAAATATTATAACCCGCGTCCGCCCTACTTGTGTAGCAGAAGCAGAGAAGCGTCAGGAATACGCATTAACAACGAAAAGATAACTGCATAGCGCTCAACAATACACGTAAATATATTTATATAAGTCAGAAGTCTATATTTATATTACATACTGTATATTTATTTTTATATACGTACACATCAAACGAACTAGTCATTGTTATTATTGTTATTCAATTCCGTGTATACCTTATATTCTGCGAGTAAACTGTACAGTGTACAGTGTACATATTATACAATATACACCTACATATGGGTGAAAAAAACCGTAGTCTTCGTTTATCACGTTTGCGCGAAATACAAAATATAATATTTATATTGTTATTGCGTTTCGCGTATGTGCGATTCCAATCGATTTGAATTACGTTTCGAATTGGTCTGGAACATACATGTATAGAAAAACCGATTTATAAAAAAAAAATTCTCAATCATTTTTCCCCGTGAGTAAGAGGAAAGGGTATTATATTATATTGTATTCGTATACATATATATATATCGCGGAGAAACTCTGTTCGTTTTTTGGTAAAACGTTCGGGAGAATATAATAATAATAATAATAATATACGTTCTGGCGTTGGCAGCAACGGCGGCGGCAACGGCAACGGCAACGGCGGCGGCAGCGGGTCGATAGTTAATGCGTCTCCCCCTCGTCGTCGCAGGTCCCTTATATTATTTTGGACGTGTTTCCTATCGGTCGGGTACAAATATTTGTGCCACGCCGGTTAGGCATGTGTTGACCTCGTCGATAACCAGTGTGTAGAATCGTGGTGGTAGTGCGTATTATATATATTATAAACAGAGAATATCACGTAAGTACATTATATTGTCCGTGTGTACTTGCATATAAAATATAATAATGTTTGGAATCACAACAAATCACTTGACGGCTGATATTATATTCATTCGATTAACATAACGACCAGTACAAAATGTCCGAAATTCTGCCTGGACACATCATATTCGACGATTTTCTTTATTTTTATAAATATTATATATTTTTTTTAGAAAACGTTTTTGTATAAGCCACAGTACTTGGACACTTGTATTTTAGATGTTAAACTACGCATACAACTGAACGATGTGGATATCTAGGTTATCTCTTATTTGCTTAACGATTTGTATACGACATAGCATAAATACGTCATGATATAAGACGTACGCACGACACCGGTGGTCGCCGTTGTCCGTTCATTGTAATCGCGACTAAAAGTCTAGACAGTAGAAGATACACGACATGCGTAAACAATATTCTAAGTAATGTGTCCAATACGTACGATAAGTGTTCTGAAATTTGTCCTCTACGGTTTATACTTGGAGTTGATTTCTTGTACAATATAATGTTTTTACTTTCGAAAAAAACTTTGTCATTATATCGACAAAATATTCAAAATTAAAATATAAACAAAAATAATATAGACCACACACACACGTACTATATATAGTATAGAATATAATAATATGTATTATACTTTATAAAGTGTAACAATATTGATATAGATACTATCGGATCGTTTTGTTTAGTCATATACAATATAGGTAATAAATTTATCGTCTCAGTGGTGAACTATTGATTATTCGGAGTCTATATAATATTTAGTTAAGTATCGAGTTCTACACGGTATATATACGAAATAACAATATTTTAACAAGGTACCTGGTACATAGGTACTCGAAGTTGCTGTAAGTTCAAACGATGCTGTGTATCAATACTGAATGGCGTGGTTAACATAATATTATTAGTTCGGTTTCTAATAGTGTATAATATAATATGGAAGTCAGTATAACGTACTATAAAAATGTCAGTGTCCAGTGAGATATAAAATTATAAATTTTGATTATTGCAACTTAATCGAACATCCCTATTCATTTTTAAAATTGTGAATATTTTACCGGAACAAAATGTATGTATAATACACTCATTGCAAATTATAATAATTTGTTTCATATTATCCTATACAAAAAACATAAATACATATAGTGTATCAGGTTAGATATGATAAGCCGAAACCAAATGAATTTAATCTTCGTTTCGATATTTGTGGCATTTAATACATCATCATAATATAATAATGACTGTGTGAGGGTGCAAGATGCCTTTACCGTTGCGCTGCAAAACGAATGTTTGTATATATATATATTATCATCATTATTATTTTTAGCAACTAGTGCAACGTCTACTATAATAGAAAGAAAAGAAATATTGTGCGATCTCATTTTCTTTTCTTTTTTTACGCACACCAATCACGCGAATACGTCTTTTGTGTCCGACTCTGCCCAAGGACACGGACTTCAAAGATATAATAATATAGTTGAAAGTAAACTCTTCAAAAAATGTACACGCGTGTCTTTCTTTTTGGAATTTTCACCAACAGTCCTGAGTAGTGAGTTGTACGTTTCGTTCACCTACAATACGACACAAGTAAACTCGGTATCTCATTTCCTTCTCTATGTCCTATGTATATAATATCTACTCGGTACACACACATGATATATGTTTTTATAACATACTATATTGTATATATATATATAGGTACGCTCGTCCCGCGGAGTAATGCGCACACCATTCGACAGTGAGACAGACGGGTAACTGGGTCACAAGTGTAATAGTGTTACTTGTGGTTTTTTTTTAACGATCATTATAATGTTTCTTTCACCTTTCATACTATTATTATCGTCATGTCAAAGAGGAAAACTAATCCAGATTTTCAGTCAAGTAACTTCGATAACCCCCCCCCCCCCAAAAAAAAAAAACCATTTTCCGAACAATATTATAATAAAATATAAATATTAACAATAATAATCATACATCAATTTTATTATTTCAGTTGATCCCAGAACATATAAATAATACAAGTGGATCATCGAAAATGACCACGAACATGGACGAACATTTCAGAGTGCATTTTACAATAGCCACGCGGTCCATTTCTATTGCGTCCAGTAAGTAATGAGTATAATATAATATAATACAATTTGAGTGTATTTGTTTGGCCAACTCTTTAGCATAATAAAGCATCCAAATAATGACATAAATATAATAAATTAGTTTGATTTTGAGGAGCAACGTGTGCGTACAATTAGGTTCTTTACTCTTCTCCTGTTACAAGGGTTAACATAATATTATTATAATCCGCGGTCTGAAGCATACCATAGCCACCATACCTACACCAGTGCAGTGAAATATACAAATACACAATTGAAAAACAACACACGATAAACAAACAAATAAAACCTTATACGATGTTTAATTGCGAGCAATTCATGATATCGAATATTATTATTATATTATAATACATCATAGTTCAAGTATAATTATAAATTCGTACATTGTTTTAATAACCGAATAAAATATAAACTACCTACACGTAGGTACCTATACTATGTTCCTTAGGAACTGTATAGCACTACTGTAATAATATATTATTATCTATTATGTCGTTTGGACACTGAGTAACGTGTATTTTACTATAATGCAGAGTGCACAAGAAGCCTTGACAAATATTATTTTTATTCTACACAATTGCAGTATCAAATTAACGTTAACGAGTCTCCCCAGTGTAGGTACACGATTTATTCATAAATCGTTATTATCCCGAATTAGTTAATTATTTATACTTCTTGGCGTAATTCGCACGGAACGGGGGTTTCGGTATATAAGTACGTTATAAATTACAATAAAATACAATGTATTATACGCTACCACAACGGACACTGGAATTGCATTAATTGAAATTAAACCATATTTTCTGGAATTAACAATTAATTATTTCGTACTCTGTAAATCGAAAATAATAGTATACTGTTTCGCGTTTGCAACGTGTAATATAGGGAACACGCGATGCATATTATTATGCATTGTTCTGCGTCGTATCTAAATGTAATAATCCGATCAGATACGTACACGCAAATTGTAATGTTTTATGCATTTTTTCGACCCCACGTTTTCTCACGTTCAAGAGGACGAGTCGCGTACACATTTTTAAATTTTTAATTTGCCTTAGATTTGTTTTGATATTCTTACGGCCGGCACAAAAAAACACGGGCCCTAACATTTAAATATTATAGGAAATGACATACGCGTACAAACATGTAACGCGATAACCGGTTTTCCGAACTACATTTCAATTGAAATACCTCTATGCGCCGCTGCCTAAATTGTTACTCTGTACTATGAAAAATTCCTATACACAGTATGCACCAGCACACCACTATGTTGTACAGATATGCGAACCGCGTTGTACGGCGTGTGTGTACTGTGTGGTGTGTTAGTGTGCTAATGATGAATTTTTGTATTGTCACACAGTGTGTTTTCTTTGTTTTTTTTCCTTCCCATATAATAATCGGATAACCATTATAAACACGCGTCCCGACGATGAATAGGAGTTACGCCTTATGATGACGCGTCGTCTCAATGTACATCATACATAACAATGTTATGATATTATATTATGTGGTGTATCGCGTCTTATAGGTATGTTTATTATCAACATTTGTTCTAGCCGTCCAACGATGCATTTTTTATTTAAATTTTCAAATACTTTTTTTTCATTATCTTTACACCGTCGAGCTTATATAATAATATTCTAATTATAAACATGTGTGCTTTATGCCTTTTTATAACCACTTAAAAAACTCAACCGTTCAATTACAGCTTATTATATCTACTCCGCAAAACACATCGCACGCTTGTGTACTATTCCTGCGTACGCATAGTAGGCATATTATAATAATATATAATATATAATACGCCTAATGCGCGTGTTGCGTGTACCTATAATAGATACTAATATACTATAATATTATTATGTGTGTCGGTATTCTAATATGTGCATGTACGAGACGTGCGTACGGTGTAGCGCTAAAAATATGTTAAGTATAAATGCGTTTCAATTTTTGTGTACGTGCAATTATCATAAATAGTTTGCATTGTATACCAAACACAATGCGCACCGACACTTCTCGGAGAAGTGTACACAGAGAGAAATTACTTTTCTCACAAAAATCTTCACAGAGACCCGCAGAACACTGGCGTTTGTGGGAGATAAAATATATCATAATAATATGTATTTATCAACACACGACAAGGGATCACGCTTGTTATAATATTATATAATATAATACACATATATATAGTGTGTGTGGATATGTGGGATTCAAACCGTTGTTGCGTGGCCGTCTTTATATACAGTCCTCGGTAAAAAAGAAAAGACTGAAGGGGTTTCATATAATATATAAAACGTGTGTACTATGTTTGTTTGCGCATGTGCAATGTGCATGTGCATAATATATTATAATGTCGTTTTTGCGGTCCACTGCAGGCTCTCCGTTCACACAGACAATTTTCGACGCATTATCGGACTTGGGGTCCATAACCTCTCCCATACCGTCGTCCGTCTTTGACAACGCGTTATCTACTGTAAAAAATAAATAAAATATAAAAACGCATAGACGTATAATAGAATAGACCAGGAATGATAGGCGTTCTACATGTAATACGTTGAAGCCAACATATGTGCGAGAGAGACAGACAATGTGCGGTTTTTTCATGGAAAAAAAAACGTAGTCGCCAGGGAATTGTGCCGCAGTTTTTAAACAAATGTATATCTTTTTTTATAAGTGAGTAATTCGAAAAATTATATTATTAATGAAATTAAAAATACAAACAAGGGGAAATAAACAGATTTTAATTTTCAAAATCCGTATCACATTATAAAATTATTTAAAAAAATAATTATATACATATGTATCAGAAAAAAAAAATCAAATAGACATAATATTATAATCCTTTTATATGTCTATGAAAAAAATAATTAGTTAATAAACGTAATACTATTATATTCAAATTTGTTTGTGTTATACATATATGGCCTCGTCCCCGGATACACTTTAAAAATATATACTTAGTTTGTGGCTCAATATCAGGGTACTAAAACACAAAATGGTTTTTTTGTGTGGCTTTTCAGTTATTATTTGACTATTATTGTTTGTTGGAAACACACTACATTCATAGAAAGGCTTTGAATAATTAAGTCAGAAATATAAACGTCTATGATAACTTTTCACTTTATATTATAATTAAAAAAAAAACAGATAGGTATATAACAGACTTATAAAATAATACACTAATAAAAAAAAATAATAATAGTATTAAAATAATAATAATAATAATAATAATAATAATAATAATAATTACATTTTATAGTACAAGATTAAATATTATTGATGTTTAAATAAAATTAATTTTGTATAATAAGTACGTATTTTATTATCTATATCATTAGTACTAGAGTTTATATGATGTACACGTAATTTACAATAAATATTTATAATTATTTTAATTAGTTGAAGTACATGATTATTTAGTGGTTCTTGATCAAGTATATGTAAAGAGAGATTGGTGAAATAGTATGGTATGAATAGTTGGTGTAAATATATAGTTAAAATTAAGGTTGAAAATCCATTTGTCTCGAAGTATAGTATCTTTTGGAAAGCTATATGAAGAGTATAAGTAAGATATATAATAATTTACACAAAAATAATATATCATTATTTTTAATAATACTAATTTAATTTTTCATGTACATAATATTTAAATGATTCAGTGTTTATAGGTGTACACGGCTATGGTTAGGTATGCATTTAATGTGTAACAAAATAGAAATATATTATTTGAATAAATACCTGTGTAATGTAATATCGTTGTCACTCGATCTTTGCGATTTGCAAACACAACATTTTTGTACCATTTTTAATTTGTGCAAAATAAAAAAAATATAACTAAAACTTCAAAATTCGTATAAGTATTCGTATACTGTATAGTTGTATTCTCATAGTCATGAGAATTCAGCCATAAACCATAAGGCATAAACATAATATTGTCTTATCTATCGACTATCTGTGTTATCTATGTTATAATGTCTTTGATAAAACCGCAGTTTTATAACGTTTATGTTCGCTTCACATATTACGTATCATTCCTGGTCTATTCTATTATACGTCTATGTAAAAACGTTATACGACTCGATCCAGCCTCGTTCAAACAGCAGTTGGTTTTATTGTTGTTTTTACTGTTATACTCTGTATGTTTTCTTTTTTGTGGTAATATTATGTATTCGTGTGAAATAATTTCGAATTGTCTGTACGTGTATACAGCATTTTGGGACGCCGCTCCACGAGGTTGTCAAATACTGAAATACCTATAACTCATAAGATAATATTTAAACTGTTATAATAATAATTCGCATGGTTACAATTTGATCGGTTTTGGAAATCGCGATGTTTCAATTTTTTCCGTGTGCAATTTTATTACAGCGTGACACAATAATATTATGTTATTTTTAATTAAACGTTGCAAATTACGACTCACTCGTAATTATCTGCAATATCTACTACGTGTATTATAAAATCATTTTAATCCAATATACGCAGTTTTACTGCCTTACTGTGGTAAGTTACCACAGTAAGGCAGTAAAACTGGTAACTATAGTTAGTGCTTAAGTTGTACGAATACCGAGTACTTACATAACACAGGATATATTTTGCTTTTAAGTCTCAAAAAAATTGGTTGTGTACCTATAAGTATTATAATAAAGCCCTGCTATTTAAAAAAAAATTCATGAGTTTCTCTTTCGAAATATTTATTATTTGGTATTGCGATTCAAAGATAATACAATTTGTACATCACTTCTAGGAGTTGATAATTTCAACTTTTTAAAAATACTAAACTGTCTTGCACACAGACATTTCATATGTGTAACAATTTTCCAAAATTATGAATAGTAAAAAATAAAAAATGTTTTCTATATTAGGGGACACAAACACTGAAACACGGTGAGACAATCATACTATTATGACATGATCGGTTTTATTAATGTCCTATGTATTATCTATTATTAGGTAGGTATCATATTATTATTTACGTCATACCTATACTGTTTATC